CATTTTCTAATATTAAAAAATGAATTTCTAATATGAAAAAAGAAAAAAACTATTTCTTAATATTAAAAAATGAATTTGTAATATTAGAAAATGGGTTTCTTAATATTAAAAAAAAAAGAATTTCTAACATTAAAAAATCATGTAATTAATATTAGAAATCCATTTTTTAATATCAGAAATACATTTTCTAATATTAAAAATTCGAAAGTATTTTCTTATATTCGAAATTCATTTTCTAATATTTATAAATGTTTTTTTAATATTAGAAATTCATTATTTAATATTAAAAAATCAACTTTCAGAGTTACAAATTAAAATCTTCATCACTAAAGAGTTTTGATTTGTTTATTTTCTATTCAATAACTCCTCCCTGTTTTCAAAGAATAAAAAAATTTGGCCGAAAAAAAGAATGAACTCAATCAGATTTTGCTAAGGATTGACGGGCAGCTTTATCAAATAATTTCGAAGAAGTTGAAATCCTGTTTAGAGATGACTCAACTAAACTGGAAAATGGGAGAGGAGAATTAAATGAGGTAACTGTTGAGCTGCTGGGATCGTCACTGGCATCCATGTCAAGATTAGTCAGAGACATGAGGAATGTTTCTGTAAATTCTGGCTAGAGAATTAAGGGGTGCAAGCCCGTCACACTACAAAGCCGATAGACCTAAAACAGGTATGGAATAGGCACAGTTTTATGAAAGATATTCTGAATTTGACTTCCTTAAATAATTTTGCTTTCATACAACGTCGAATTTCTTTCAAAATCCAATCTACTTCCACTATCTGATTCGAGACTTCAAGTTAACAAAATCATTGGCATACACATGCAAAATATTTAATAGGGAGAATAGGGGTCCGTTAACAAGTTAACAACAGCAAAAATATGCCCAAAACATGTTGACAGAAAAAGGTATTGTCTCACAGTGGGGGCGTAAATCCAAAGTTGTACCCCAAGCATAACGAGATGAAAAAATATTTGAAATTTTTTACTGATTTGTGCTCGATTTTAGAGAAAATATGATGTTTAGTCTCAAAAATCTACACCGAGCGTAACGAGGCAGAAAAATTGTGTATTTTTGCAGAATTTTAACTTAAATATGACGTATTTTTCATGTTTTTTCAACTAAAGGGGAAAGGGCGGTCACCTCTTACACCCCTTCTTTGATCTGCCCCTGTTGAAGGGGCACCAAAACTCATTTATTCCTATGAAACGCACCCATAATGTACCCGAATTGAAAAAAAAATACCCTTACAAGCCAAGGGAAGTTTAAAAAAAAACTTAAAACATAGGAACATAATATATGAGTTGGTGTGCCTTCATTTAATATTTTGCAAGTGTATGCTAATGATTTTGTAAAAGTCTCGAATCAGATAAAGTGGAAGAAGTCTAATCCAGATACTGAATGGGTAGCATAGCGACCCTATTCCGGAAAATGAACAATTCAGTGATCTCCGGTCAAACTAAGAATGGACTACGTATTATGATGAAGGCATGTTTGGGTAATCGACACAAGTTCAGGCATAAAAAAGCAAAATATAGATGGGACTACAGAAGGGTACCACCCCTCAGGTCGCAAGGTGGATTTTTAAAACTACCATTGGTCATAAGTCCCTTTTAAGGTAGATAGGGTGTCTTCCTCCATCTTGGATTTTGAAATACCAGAAAACAATCGGTCTAGATCTATAATAAAAGGTCTCAAATTTTGAGAGTAGTAGGTAATTCATGTGTAAGAATTTTCATTTCAATATAGAAAATGACATATTTGATCATATTTATAATTGTATTTTACAAAAAAACAGAATACTTTTGTTTGATTCTATATTTTCCAACTTTGCAACATAAGGGGAGGCAACTCAAATGTAAGGGCAGATAATTCACATAAAGTTACATTTACAATAGAATGTGTTAGGAATTTACCTATTTTATTATGTAGCAAGAAAACGGGTCCGGTGACCCCATTTTTTCTTTTTCTTATCTGAAAGCATACTATTAGAGCTATCTTCTCATATTTTATCTCAAAATTCTATGGTGTAGTTTTCATTTTATGGCAGAAAATTGGGTTTTTCATGCATAATCTATACAAAATCTGTCAATTTTGCACAACCTGTAGCATGAAAATAAGGCCCGTGACCCATTCTTTTCATTATTTTTTAAAAAAAAGCATGATATAAACTACATTTTGGCAAATTATTAAAAAATTCTATGGATTATAATTTAGACACCCCATCTACCTTAAGGGTTCTAAATTCGGTGAACGGACGTTTCGGTCACGACTTTTTTTGCTAAGGACATTTTCGCCAATGGACGTTTCTTTCCCGGACATTTCAGCCAACTGAATAAAAAAATATAACAAGAATGAAACCAAAGAGTTGTACACGTGAGAGCGCTTACAAAGCAATTTTTCATGTAATTAATATTTCCAAGGGGCATAACTCTTTTAAAAATAATTGTTCGGCACTGATTTTCAAACTTGTCAGTCGCAATGTTGATATAAACCTAATATATAAGAATTGCTCTTTGGTCGGGTTGTTGTCTCTTTGACGCATTCCCCGTTTCCATTCTCAATGTTATTATACAAATCTGGCAAGAATTGTACACGTGAGAGAGCTAACAATACCGGACGGACAAAAGGACGGACGCCCGATTTTTCTATGTCCCCCACAACGCGTCGCATGGGGGACAAAAAACCAACGAGTTTTCATAATCTTTTTTATTTTAGATTAATATTAATTTGCACTTTAGTCTTCGGGGATGAGTATGTTTCTGATTTTCGAGTTGGGTGATGATGTACAGGTGCAGCTGATAAAAATCGCACCTTTTAACAAAATGGGGGGACATAACTACTCACAGATGATAAGCAAAGGTGCCTTTTTCGGGTATGGGCATATTGCTCACATAGGCTTCGGGAAAAGCTCGAGAGTATTCGCAGTCTTATAAGGAGTTTTTACAACAAGTATATACAAGTGTGTATACAAGTGTGTAAACAGCAACTGACCAATTAACGACACACAAAACCAAAGACATATAGTAAGTGATTTATACAGGATGGAAGAGTATTTTTAATGCTAATTTGTAGTTTTAGCAAAGTATATTTAGTTTAGCAAGTATTATAACATCATATGTTCACAACATAAGTCAGATTTTAACTATAACAGCAACATATTTCAGTCTCCTAGTACGTATTTGTTATTCTTTAAACTTCTTGTATTCAGGAGAAAACTCATTAAATCAGTAGAATGTTATATTGAATTAATAGGAAAGTAACTACAGGGGGAATGAAAATAAAATAACAAACATCATTCAGATCCCGTCAATTTTATTTTGTTCAATACCTCTGAATAAAAATAACGGTATTCTGTATTCAGTAACGTCACACGTTTTCTGCCAAGTTCTATTAAAGCGTATCAGTCAACTTTGAAGCAATGTATCTAAAAGACAAGGATGGTGACATATTTGTTTCTATATATGCATGGATTTATTATACAATCCTTGATATTATGTTAGTTTTTAGTTTTTCTCCGTATATAAGAACATATAAGAACATAGCCATCAATAGAAAAATAAAAAAAAATAATTTAAAAAAAAAAAGCATTTTCCCTATATGTATATTTGTGGCCAAAAATGACGTTTTCTTATAAAAATTATAACAACAAAAACTGGTGACCCCTATTTTTTATTTCATATTCCGATGTAACTCGAATCAAAGTACAATTGTGCCAAAAATTATAGAAATCAGGAGATATGACATTTGGTATCGTGTTACCTTAAAAGACGAAGGGAGAAAATATTTTTTAACAAGCATTACTTTTCATTGAGACGTTCAACACTGTAAATATTAAAATATACAAGCCAAAGTGGACAAAAAGTACTGTAGCTCTTTTTGTCCACTTTGGCTTGCCATAATTAACTGGCTTTAATTTACTATTCAAGTTACATTTCATGTTAATCTAGTTACCTTGCAAAACAAATTATAGTAGTAGAAGGTGACCCATCCCTATTTTATGCACAGTGGGATTACAAACTCCACGGCCATACTCTGGAGCATGAAACATCTACTAAATACCTAGCCTGCACCATTGCAAATGATCTAGATTGGGGAGAACACATAAACAACATCACAGAAAAGCCAGCCGAAGCCTTTGTTTCTTACACCGAAACCTCCACATCAGCTCAAAATCCATCAAAGAGCATGCCAATAAAATATTAGTAAGACCGCAAAATGAATACTCCAGCTGCACGACAGTATGGGACCTGTACCAGCAAAACCACATAGAAAAAATCGAAAAAGTACAAAGACGAGCTGCAGCACGACATGTAACCAGCAGACATAGAAATAGATCAAGTGTCAGCAATATGATTACGGAATTATGATGGAAAAGCCTACAAACAAGAACTCAGAAAAGAAGCTCGACTCATCATGTGCTACAAAATAACAAACGACCTTGTAGCCATAGACAAGAGTAAATACCTACAAAAACCAACAAGAAGCTCTAGCCGGACAGGACATCATACTTACCTTTTACAGCCAGCCACCAAAGACTGTAGGAAATGGTCCTTCTTCGTAAACACCGTCAAGGAATGGAACAAACTGCCTCCAGATATCGCTACATCAAAGTCTCTTGAGATATTCAAGTCTTAAATGACCAAAACTTCTAACTAAATCGATCAACAGTTAGTTTTTAATCATGCGCAACTTGCCAGAATATTCATCATGTTGAATGTGGGCAGTATTTGGAAGACGAAGAAGAAGAAGAAGAATTATTTACTATCGGGACAGATTAGAACAACAAAAAAACTTTAAAATATTCTATTTTTTCATTTATTTACCAATGGAAGAACCTTAAAAACCTTTTAAAAGGGAGAAAAGAAGCATTTGTACAAAAAATGACATTATTTCCCATCAGATTCCAGTGATTTATTCTAAATTTTATCATTTATTAATTCCGTAACACATACGTTTCCATTTCTGAAGGTTTTATTTTGTGCGTATTTACGGGGGATTGCCTCCCTTGAAAAATATCAAAACAATGACAGAATCTGTTACAGATAATTCTTTTGAAACAACTGCTGTTAAATTACTTCAGAGATTTCACTTACTACAACAAGAAAGAGTAGAAACTTACACTTTATTTGAGGAGTACGGGTTTTTCATAGTGTTCCTTTTCAGGATTTTTCATGTTGGTTATTTATGTTATAAATTTTATGTCCATGTTTGTATTGCCAACTCTAAGGAAAGCTTATTTATTTATTATAGGCTGTGTCTTTGATCAATTGAACGGGGAAACATTCCCACAATCACCCAAGTGGGTCTTTTTTTCTTGAACAAGTGTTCATTTCTATCAGTATGACATGTACTTGTTCAAGAAAATAAGACCCATTGTGGTTATTGGGAATTTTCCCCCGTTCAATTGATCACTATGATGAAATTCAAATATTGAAAATTTCTAAAATACACATATTTATATATAAAAAACCAATATATTGCATGACTTTAATGCAAGTTTCTTTATTTGATTTATATTTGAAATTGAATTGATTAATAGTTACACATCTTGATGCACATAAAATAAATCTTCTTTATGTTTCTTGTCGCTAATAAGGTGAACCCTTTGAATTTGTTTCCTAAAGCTAAGTCTTTAAAGCAAGGATTGCATTTTAAGCCTTTCCACCTTTTTTGAAAGATCAATTGATATTGTCAAATAACCAATGAGTACCAGTCTACATGTACCTACTGTAAGTTATTGTTTGTGGTGATTGAATCACAATCATAAATATGTTACCTTGCAAAATAAATTATACTAGTAGTATAGTAGAAGGTGACCCATCCCTATTTTATGCACAGTCAAAAGAAGGCTAATTTAAAGCACCCCTCAGGTTTATCAATATTCTGGATAAACTTTGTCTACAAAATTTTGTTCAGTTACAATACATGTGTTAATAAATAATTAAAAAAAAACCCCAGAAATTATGATTTTCTGAGTTAAAAGATAAATTTTAAGGATAAGAAATTGTAACCTTAGCCCAAAATAAAATGTCTTGCCTTAGACCAGCAGAACAATTATTATTTCAGTATAATCTGCACTGACACTTTTTTTCAACCTCACTTTTCACCAATTTAGAGGTTTCATGCCAAATTTTTTCTGTATAATGAAATATATCCCCTGCATCACTTAAGCAAACTGCGTCAAATTAGCCATACAATGTTTTTCATGTTTTTCTTGTTTTCAATGCTTCTTTGAAACATACCTGTAAAAGAAATTGACAATTCCCCAATTTTTAAATGAATTGTTTGATTCCCAATTTCTTAAATGAAATAGTGTTTGACTTTCAGAATGGAAATGAACAAAATTGTTTCCATTGAAATTTAGGGTAACATATAAATTCAACATCGAGTTTCAAAAAAATATTTCTTGTTCCTGTATATGCTATTGGAAAAAAAATGTTGTTGATTTTAAAAACACATTGCAATATAAAATTCTTTGTCCGAAGAAAAAATCCTTATCACTTCTTAAAACAATAAGAATGATTAATTAGAATTATTGTCCCTGAAAATGTGTAATTCAAGAAGTTAAAGTCACATGATACTTCAAATTAAAAAAAAAAGAGTTGAATATGTTTTATATACTATAAAACAAGTTTACATGGACTCTATCTTAAAAAAAAATCCTCTATCTTATCAAAATCTTCAGAAATGTACTGCTATTGAATTATTGTCTTCCCATACAGTAAATTTATTACTCTTAATTCGCTGATGGCTTTTCCATATGCAGTGACCCTAACCATTAGACCTCTCCTATAACTATTTTTTTTTCATTTCTAGGGAGTTTAAAAAGTGAATTGGCATTTTAGGAGGCAACCTGATTTGAGGAGATTTTGCTCGTAGCAATATGCATTTGACCTTAGAAGAACTTTTTTGTTTAAGGTCAGATTGAATAAAGGTCACCAAAGAAAAAAAAAACATTAAAAAAATGAAAAAAAATACTCTGACACACCATGGCCACACTACACTAGTCATGCTAGTTGTATTGGTAGTCATATTCTTTAAAAAGCTGAATGAAAATTAATTTTTGATTTTGTATTTTTGTCTATCTTATTTCTGAGAGACTGTCTGTGTTAACACAAATTTTGACATGCATTTGAATATATTTTAATTCAGCTTATTTTTTCAGAGGTTTTGTGGCATATTTAAAGGGACATCCAAATTACAATTTTCCTTTGTATCGTCAGCTTGTTCATGAGATAACAGAAACATTCAACAAAATATCTACAGATATTATAGTCATTAAAACCAGACTTAATGATGATCACCAACAGAATACTGTAGCTGGACCCATCAGTAAAATACAGGAGCAGGAGCAGAAGAAATTAGAAACTGTAGGTTGATAAATGTGGTTTGAATTGTCTCCTTTTTCTAAGATCTTTCGTGGCTGAAATTGTAATGAACTGATCATAGGATGGAATAAATGATTTAAAATTTTATGATGTGGTGAATATAAGCCAAATTATTGGAAATATATAATTCCTGAGGTCCCTTTTCAGACTCTACCACAACAAATATTTCTGCATTTTTAAGTAGGAAAATTTCTCCTTGTATTTAAAAAAAAAGATCTTAAAGATATCTTGTCATTGTATAAGTTGTAGTTGCAAACAAATATTACAGTGATTGGATTTATATCTTCAATGGCTATTTGCTTTGTTCACATCCTAATCCTTAACCTGTGTTGTCATACACAAGAGCAAGTTAAGTTACTTCTGGACTCCCTCCTTCATTTAGCTGGTCCTTCCATCCTCTCAAAAGACATAGAGGGTAACTTATGTCATCTGTAACTTTAAGAATTATTGATCAACATTATTACAACTTTGCGCAGTAGTTTTACAGCATACATATTGAAGATGTACATGTACACCATCTATAATTGTCTATTTTGGACAGATTGAAAATACTCAGGGTTGGCAAAGTAATACCTAGGCCCAGGCTGGGCAATACCCCCAAAAATGATTTTTAAGCTTGTTTTTAAAATAGAATAGTTAAGACATATTGTAGTTTCTCAGTATTATTGCTATATACATATATATAACGTGAGGGTACCTAAATTGCACCTATTTTGACAGTTTTTTCACCCACATTTATTTATGATCCAGACACAAGTTTCCATTCTGTGTTTAATTTGTAGATATATCCTTACTTACTATATAGTTCCACCAATTTAATTTTGAATCCATATTGAATCATAGAAAAATGGATTTGAAGCAATCTCCAAACAATCCATGATTCTGTAATGAGGAGTACCCAAATTGCATCCATGCTTAAATTCACATCCATAAAAATCGAATAACTAATGTTTTGTTTTATTTCTCCAAATATTTAGAACAATTTGACAATAGTCCATGCTTACTATTAATTTTTTAAGAAATGAATTCCTGTAACATATTTTAATTGCTAAATTTTAAAAGTTGACTTTTTGTGGAGGTCCTGTAGATTTTACTTTTTCCAGTGAATACTTTATCTGTTATATACATGTACTGTCATATAAACTGTCAACTTTTGGCGTATATTTAAATATATTTAGCTATGTCGAAAGACATGTGGAATGTACACATGTCAAATCATAAAAATACAAATTGTTTAGTTTCTAAAAAAACTTGTAAGATTTCTGCTGCCTGTTGCTAAATGGGTGCAATTTGGGTACTCGGTGCAATTTGGGTACTCAGTGCAATTTGGGTACTGTGACGTGACATTTAATACAGATCAACCTTGAGAGTCATTTTCAGAAGATAAAAAAATTAATTTCTTCTTTTTCTCAATAATAACTGTGTATGAAATCTGTTGCATTTTTCAAGGAAACTAAAAATTGGAGCTTCCAAAAATTTAGGACCTGTCTTCATGTGAACATTCTATATGACGTGTTTTGCATTTTCAGATTTTTTGCTCATCAACTTCCTGTTAACCAAATGATTATATATTCTAAGACATAGCAGCCATGTATGGAACTTTCTTCTTATTTTTCAAAGGAACTACAATTAACATACATTGTATTCCTGAAATTGTGAACTAGTTACATGTATATTGTAAATACAGAGGTGTGAATCTCAACTACTACATGTAAATATAACTAGAATGTAGATGATCCAAATAAATGACTCACAAAAATTTCTATCTTATTCACTGTTATAAAAACACTAGTATCTATAGGAATAGAAGAAGTCAACAATCTAATTGTCTGAAACTGCTTCACTTGTCTGGATTTCAATGAAACATTCAAAGAATCTAGCAATTTTAATATTTTTATGCCATTAGACATAATTGTTTGTTTGTATTTATGAGTTCTAATATAGCTTATATACTTTTTCTGCTCCATTACAGACTGTACAACATCAGATATCAAGACAGAATGAATTAGATCATCCTGATGTACCAGGACACAAAGAACAATCTGAAAGCCATAAAGAAAAGTTTGTATACATAGATTGTAGGCAGATCATGTACTTTGTATTGCATATATTTTAATTTATATGAATATTAAAATCGCTCATATAATTGAAACACAAGAAACATTAGTGCTGCAGCCCCCATGCTCAATAAAGTTGATACATACACATTGCTGGATTTAGAGGGGAGTTATGGATTTTTTAACTCAAGTCTTTCTTTGGATTTTTAAAATCACTCCTAAGTCATGTATGTAAGTTGATGAGCTATATAACCACACAGTGATCTTCCAGAGGCCTTATAGCACTATGGTATATGAATATGTTTTATAATAGAATGTATTATGTGTTTGGATAGATACATTTTATTAATTGTGCAATTCAGTTATTTAAAACAAAATGTTTGATTTATTGATTTCAGGGGCGTAGCTGGCCTAAAAAAAATTGCAAGCATAAGTCTTTTACCAATTTTTTGGGACCTTTTTATGCCGAAAATAATTATTTTTGGTCATTTTCCAGGAATGCCATGCTTATGAAATTCACATTACTCCTTATTAACATGGTTGTTTTCAAATATAAAATAAATTTTATAAAACGGGAAGATCAGACGACAAGTCAACCGAAGCGTTTATCAATAGAAGGGCAATCAATGGACACTTGACCAACCCGGGATCAGATAAGACACAAAAGAACAAACAAAAACATTCAATATTGAAAACTAAATACTGATAAAAAACACGAACCCCGAAAAAAAAATGTGGCGACCTCCAGTGCTCCGGAAGGGTAAGCAGGTCCTGCTTCTTGCAAGACACCCGACCGTAGCGTTTAGCACTAAGGTCATTTTCGAATCAAAGGAGAGGTTTCTACGACAACGGTAGAAGGTCACTTGGGACACAGATACCCAAGGTGAATTAATAGTCTTTTGGACGAACGGACAATGTGAATACGAAATCAAACGGCGACTTTTAAGTCTTGACTTATAAGTGAGGGATATAAATCTAAGATGTTTTCAAGGTTATTGTATTGAGCCTGTATTATTAAATGTTAATACTGCATGTAAGACTTAAAGTATAGTTAATATCCAAAGTCAATATATATCTATTTTTTGCCAAGACAAATGATCGCAGAACTCTCTCGGTGTTGATATTCATTTCTCTGTGAACATGTATGAGCGCCAACGAAGATAGTCTTTCCTATACCATGGTTGAACGGAGATCAGCTTTCAGTCGCCGTAATGCACTAAATGACCGTTCAGTAGTTGATGTAGTTACTGGCATTGTAACTAGGATTGACACGATTGCAAACTATTGAAGGATATAGTTCCTTTTTAGTCACTGCTAGAGACGACATAAGAGATTTGGGCTACTTTATAACACCTGGACCCGACCAGCGTCTCTGCCATCTCTTTACCTCAGAGTTGAAGGTTTCTTGATTGTCCGTCAATTCGTGTCTAAATGTTTCGTATAGTTTGTCTATACACTCTGCTGTCAAAGATTCCAAACTTGCAGGTATAAGGGTCTGGCCTTGAAAACGATCAGAGTTATCCAGTAAACGTCCTGTGAATTCTTCAAAGAAATAGTCAAGAAAGGAGAAATACAAGGCTCGCTTCCAATACTGACTTGGGGTGTCAGCTGGATAGTTAGCCCGGTTGATCTGTCTTCCTACTCATTCTTAATTTAATTTCAGAATTAATTTTTTTGGGAAAAAAATGTGCAAGCAAATGAGTATTTGCGTAAAGGCAGCTACGCGCCTGGATTTTTAGTTGCTAAAATCAAGTAACTAAAAGGAGGAGGTATGAAATGAGCCCCTGAAATTGTATAAATAGTAAAATTACTCAAGTCTTTCAAAAGAATCTTAATGTTATTGATAAATAAACAGGTAACTTGAATCTGAACAATTTAATGCAGACATGTATCAATTTGGCACCAAAATTTGACCAGAGTAGAATTTTAATCCTTTTGAGTGATACCATTCTGAAAAATTGACATTAATTTGCTGACAGATCAAATAAACATATTATGCTTTTGGCATCATTTTTTTATAGACATGATATAATTGCATCACATTTTCAGCCTTTATATGCAGACAAAAGCCATACAGTAATTTCTAGACCTATTCAGAGTCTTAATTTGAAAAACACAGACTGCCAAACAGATAATTGCCAAGAAAAACACACATAAAACCATAATTATGACATATGAAAACCTATTTTTTAAGGCTGTATTATTCTTAATCTATCTAAAAGTGAATGTTAATCTCCAAAGTTCTTCATATTTTGAAAATTCAGTGGCTGAAATGCTATTCCACATACCTTTAACTTTTACTACAACCTTAGTTTTCAAGATAAGGTTTTTTTGGGGTTTTTTTTGTTGAAAGTTACAAAATGTATAACATTCACTAATATGTGTGTATCATTCTAAATGATACCTGTAAATGTACAAGTAACTTTAACTTTGGTTGATCAGGCGTCACCACACTTCAGAATTTTAGAGAGAAGTGTCTTCTCCCTAGCAACCAAGCAGCTTTGGGAAGTGATGACCCAATAGAAGACTTCAGGGTGAAGTGAATCATCTGTATAATGCTTTTCATGTGATAAATTTGTATGCATTATACATTTATATTACCCTATGGAGCCTTTTCATAACAAAAGTTTAGATTTTATTTCAATTGCCTTGTGGTCTAATCTACAGAAATGACAAAAGGAATTCAAAAAATCAAATAAAATTGAACTTTCAAGGTCTCAAAGCTATTTCAAACATCGCTGTTTCTGTAATAAAATTGAATTTTCAGAATCTCAAAGCTATTTCAAACATTGCTGTATAGGTTTACTCCCATTTATGATACAATAAATAAATCCAAAACAAGTCAATGTCAGAATGAAATTCTTAAGACTTTACTCTATAAATTGTTGTCTGTAATAGTTTATTTCCCTTTTTTTCCTGCCAAAAACACATGGTTGTCAACAAAAGTAAATACACAAAGTTTACCATTTATTCATGGATGTGTTTGCAAGAGTACAATCAAACCTGTATATAAAGGTCACCTTTGGGACCAGAGAAAACTGATCTTAAAAGAGGTTTTACTGTGTTAATTTTTAATTTGTTAATCAAATTTGGAAATAGGTATTCAATTTCAAGTACAGTCAAGCATTTATATAGTATTTGTGAAATAGATTGCAGCCAAATAAGCCTTTAGGTGTAATACCACCAAATCATAGTACGTCACATCAGGTTGCATACGAAAATAGGTCGAAAAAAAATATTCCCTTGAATTTGACAGTTGTAGGTAATTGATCCTACATTTCATTGCAGTAAAACATTTCTGAGTCATAAACATATATCTTGGGTATTTCAAAGCACCATTATTTCTTTATTTGGGGTTTCTATAGAATATTTTGGAAACTTGAGGTTACATGGTTACTAAAGCTTGTACACAGGTTAAAAAAGGGGAAAAATTTGATTGGTTAACTTCCAGTGATGGTTATTTTCTTATATGCAATGAAATGTTATGTGAAATTTTTTCTATAGTACTGGACAGGATAAATCTTTACTCATGCCAAGTATTTCTTTATTTGAAACAAAGATAAATTCTGCACAATTTTTTGAAAAGTGCAAATTTAACAAAGACTAATAGGGGGAAATCAATGGTGGTATTACACCTAATATGGGAAGCTATACATGCACCTTTGACCTTGTGAGTACTCTCATGTGTTAAAATTTCTTGCTATTTAAGTGAAATATTACAAATAATGAAATATTCTGAGTGGATTGAGTCTCCAAAATACATTTTATGAGAAAATTTCCTTGGAATAGGACTCTACCATGAATATTAGTTGACAGAACAAGCCATACTTAGAGTTTTGGGGAGCTTTTTCTCCTTATTTCTTATATTCTGCTATACTAGAAAATTTTTCTTAAGAAATACTTTAATAAATATATAGTTTTAAGTAAATGAAATTATTTTTAAAGCAGTAACAACAAATTATTCACCAAAAGAGAAGTTTTTTATGTCCCTCTCTGGAACGCGGCGTAAATTTAAGTTTTACGTAAGGACTTATTGAAACCTCCTTGGAGACAGTAAACTTTTATACGGATAGTTCATTCTGCTTGAATACTTCAATTAATCATTTATAATAACATTTCCATCATAAATGAGTGAAAGTTACCCCAAAATTTTTATTTATTGGCCTAAAAAGTAGAAATTTTGTGGAAATGAGAGGTATAAATGGACCAAAAGAGACCTTATAAGGAAGACAAAGAGGTCCATTAGTAGTATTTATCATCCTAAAGTCATCTTTTGTATCATATTCAACTGTTTGTAGGCAGATGAGATAAATATTTGATCATTTATTGGTCCACACTATATTCTATTATGATGCGGCTTTGTTTGGATTTTTCGAAGAAATTTTGCTCAAATCACTGTAGATGTCGTCTTACATTATACTAGATTTTTCTCAAACTATTGAACTGATTATGACAAAACTTGACAGGAATGCTTGAAATAACCAGTTTTACAAAGGAAAAAAGTCACATTCAGTTTATTTAACAAAAAAGTCTTCTTTAGGTGTAATACCACCAAATCATAGTACGTCACATCCGGTTGCATACGAAAATAGGTCGAAAAAAAATATTCCCTTGAATTTGACAGTTGTAGGCTCAGTCTTCAAGATGAACTGCTAAATCTACAGGCCCGGAGCTCAATTTTTGAAAATTTTTAGTTAGATTCTGTTGGCTTGTAGATATGATTTTTACAGGCCCGAGAGCAATATTACAAGCCTGGGCTGCCTGGGCTGCCACTCAGCGTGAAGACTGGTGTAGGTAATTGATCCTACATTTCATTGCAGTAAAACATTTCTGAGTCATAAACATATATCTTGGGTATTTCAAAGCACCATTATTTCTTTATTTGGGGTTTCTATAGAATATTTTGGAAACTTGAGGTTACATGGTTACTAAAGCTTGTACACAGGTTAAAAAAGGGGGAAAATTTGATTGGTTAACTTCCAGTGATGGTTATTTTCTTATATGCAATGAAATGTTATGTGAAATTTTTCTATAGTACTGGACAGGATAAATCTTTACTCATGCCAAGTATTTCTTTATTTGAAACAAAGATACATTCTGCACAATTTTTTGAAAAGTGCAAATTTAACAAAGACTAATAGGGGGAAATCAATGGTGGTATTACACCTAATATGGGAAGCTGTACATGCACCTTTGACCTTGTGAGTACTCTCATGTGTTAAAATTTCTTGCTATTTAAGTGAAATATTACAAATAATGAAATATTCTGAGTGGATTGAGTCTCCAAAATACATTTTATGAGAAAATTTCCTTGAAATAGGACTCTACCATGAATATTAGTTGACAGAACAAGCCATACTTAGAGTTTTGGGGAGCTTTTTCTCCTTATTTCTTATATTCTGCTATACTAGAAAATTTTTCTTAAGAAATACTTTAATAAATATATAGTTTTAAGTAAATGAAATTATTTTTAAAGCAGTAACAACAAATTATTCGCCAAGTTTTTTATGTCCCTCTCTGGAACGCGGCGTAAATTTAAGTTTTACGTAAGGACTTATTGAAACCTCCTTGGAGACAGTAAACTTTTATACGGATAGTTCATTCTGCTTGAATACTTCAATTAATAATTTATAATAACATTTCCATCATAAATGAGTGAAAGTTACCCCAAAATTTTTATTTATTGGCCTAAAAAGTAGAAATTTTGTGGAAATGAGAGGTATAAATGGACCAAAAGAGACCTTATAAGGAAGACAAAGAGGTCCATTAGTAGTATTTATCATCCTAAAGTCATCTTTTGTATCATATTCAACTGTTTGTAGGCAGATGAGATAAATATTTGATCATTTATTGGTCCACACTATATTCTATTATGATGCGGCTTTGTTTGGATTTTTCGAAGAAATTTTGCTCAAATCGCTGTAGATGTCGTCTTACATTATACTAGATTTTTCTCAAACTATTGAACTGATTATGACAAAACTTGACAGGAATGCTTGAAATAACCAGTATTACAAAGGAAAAAAGTCACATTCAGTTTATTTAACAAAAAAGTCTTCTTTATTCATTCAACTTGGAGAAACAAGGTCATTTTGTTCAGGTGTAACATCTCTAAAATAAAGACACGAACACACATGTAATAATTTTTGACAAACAACTAGGAAGGGAATAGGAGATTACAGCTACTTAAAATGTGTCAAACATTAATTAGGGATAATTTTTACCATTGTTTTATGCAGTATACTGTTACATCTTTCTCTCCAGTTAAGCTTTAAATTTTTGTAAGAAAGGGAAAAATCGTGATAGAGTCGGTCTGGAAAGTTAAATAACATTATTATGGTGTGACCGTGTGGGTTGATTTATTGCATGTACAAATGTACATTGTATCAGAACATGCACAACTGACGGATTTCATTTGACCCAGACGAGTTTGAAACTTCATTGCCCTTTCAAATGATTCAAATACAACAGCATTTTTCTGCAATGTATCAACATTCGTGTCAAGTACTCTTTACTATTTCAATATTTTATTTTCATTTTTCAGGTTAAAGGAAATTGTTGATAAAATAAATGACTTTTTGGAAGAACTTAAATATGAATCAGAAGAATTGTATGTTGAAGAAGAGGACGAGAGCCATGTTGAAAGATGACAACATTGATAAGTCGTAATTTGTTAGTTTAAGAATTGTTTCTGAGAGAAAAGAAAACTGTGCAAAGATGTCATGATACCCTTGAAGATGTGAAAATGAAAACGGGATTGTTTTATAAATGTTAACATCAATATTGTTTTATTGGAAGGGAGATATGGTTTTGTAATTTTCATATACATTCAATCTTTGTCTGTTACATTATTACTATGATATGTAAATGAATAAACCAATTCTCATATAGCTTTAACACAACATTGACATTGAAGGCAGAAAGCTCCCTTTTGAGTTTTTTGATGCCCCTGCCATGACGGAGGGGCATTAAGTTTTACCCTTGTCCGTCCGTACGTCCCAAAATTAGTTTCCATTCTCTAACTTTAGTTTGCCTCAACCAAATGTTATGAAACTCATACAAAATGCTTATTACCACCAAACACAGATGAAGTCGAATATGGGTGGCGTCATATTCACCGTTCTCCAGGTATGTCCCTTATCGAATGTAAAAATTGATGAATTTGCCGTATATTTACAAGTGGCATCTGTGTCCCATGGACACATTTTTCTTTCTTTTTTTTTTTTTTTGGATTTGTCATTCACAGTTACAGAGCTTTGATCAGATTTAATGCAATTTTTCATTAATCGTTCACTAACTCCAGTATTCCTGGATTGATTTCCTCAAAACATTACATTATTGTTGGGATTGATGAAAGGAGGCTATCTTTTATTGTATTAAATTTTCCAGTTTATTGCTTCAGAGTTATGGGACTTTAATTGTCAGATTTTAGTAAATTTTTCATATATTGTACCATAACTTGAGTTTGCTTTAATTGATTCAGTGGAAACTTTACATAATTGTTGGAATTGGTGAACATATGATTAAATGCTATCGAAATATCAGTCTATTCTTGCAACAATTTCAATATGCACAATAAAGGCGTATAATGCACTCTTTGCACAGCTGTTTATTCAAACAACTGTTAGTAAATAATCATATGAATCCAACAAAGCATGGATGATAACACAGCAATTCCTGATCTACAGTATCTTTTATGATCTTACATGTACATTATCATGGCTGCCAGACAGATAATAGTAAAACATGAATGAGTTATATGGGGCTTCAATGGCTGAGTGGTCTAAGTGGTTCATCTTCAGCAATCACTAGCCTGTCAACAATGAGGTGATGAGTTCAAACCCTGCACTTGGAAGGTGGTTCAACTCCTATCTTGATTGACTAGGATTTCCAGTTTTCCTGCCTTAGGTCAGTGGTTCTCAGTGGCACTCCAGCTTCCTCCACCAATAAAAACAGGTCGTCACACTATAACAAGTGTGCTGAAATTTGTGTTAAACACTAGCAATCATTCATGAATCATGAATGAGGTATAATTTTTGTGTGTTCAAATACAGAAACTTTCTTGAAAAAATGTTGAAGCAACTGCTCTGTGCTGGTCCTTTTTCATATTTCTGTCCAATGACCAACTACAGAGATCATCAAATGCAATATTTTACAAATTTTCAATCTTTTTTTATAAGGATAGTCTTATAATGTTTTCCTTCTAGAATAACATCTGATAATTTTGACAGCCGTGCAAATTGAATACTTCCAGCATTGCAGACTATTAAATTTGTCTTTGTTTAATCAATTTCATCTATCAAATTATAAGAAAGTATGAATAAATTTTCTTAGTAATCATTACCATACAAAAAAGTTTTTATTATGCCCCACCTACGATAGTAGAGGGGCATTATGTTTTTCGGTCCGTGCGTCCGTTTGTTCGTCCGTCCATATGTTCCCTGTGATATGATCTTTCTAATTTTAATGCCAAATTAGAGTTTTGACCCCAATTTCACGGTCCACTGAACATAGAAAATGATAGTGCGAGTGGGGCATCCGTGTACTATAGACACATTCTTGTTCTATATATAATACATTAAAACAACCATGTATCCTGAAATTTGTTATAAAATTTATAATTTTTTTGTTGAGCCTACAACATAGGGATAGTGATCCAGCGGCGGCGTTAACAAACTTCTTAAAAGCTTAATATTTCAGAAGGTAGAAGACCTGGATCCTTCATACTTTGTATATAGATGCCTTATGTTATGAAGTTTCCGTCTGTCATATGTCCATTGTCCTCGACTCATTTTCATGGTTCAGTGACTACTTGAAGAAAAAGTTCAGATTTTTTGTAATCTTAATTTCTCTCTTATTATGAGTAATAGGATAACTATATTTTGTATGTGCGTACCTTGCAAGGTCCTGATGCCCGTCAGACAGTTTTCACTTGACCTCGACCTAATTTCATGGATCAGTGAACAAGGTTAAGTTTTTCGTGGTCAAGTCCATATCTCAGATACTATAAGCAATATGTCTACTATATTTGGTGTATGGAATGATTGTAATGTGTACATGTCCAACTGGCAGGTGTCATCTAACCATGACCTCATTTTCATGGTTCAGTGGTTAAAGTTAAGTTTTTGTGTTTTGGTCTGTTTTTCTAATACTGTATGCAATAGGTCAACTATATTTGGTGTATGAAAATATTTTACCATGTACATGTCAGTCTGGCATATTTTATTTGACCTTGACCTCATTTTTACGGTTCATTGCTCATGTTAAGTTTTGGTTTTTTGGTCTGTTTTTCTAATACTGTAAGCAATAGGTCAACTATATTTTGTGTATGGAATGATTGTATGATTGTAAGGTGTAAATGTATTTCCAGTTAGGTTTATCTGACCTTGACCTCATTCTGGATCATTTTAAGTTTATGTGATAGTTGTAGTAAAGCTTTATATTTAGGACTATCACCATCATATCCATGGCTAGTAAAGAAGGCGAGACATTTCAGCGTGTGCACTCTTGTTAAATTTCAAAAGGCTGTAAATTAGTCCAACAAGTCAGTTAGACCATGAAAACTTGTATTTGAATGTGACTAGTCAGTGTCCCACTTTATATATATACCAAATAACTCAGTTAAGCAAGCCGGGTACAGCAAATCATTTTCTATAGATTTTCAAAGACTGTAAATAGGCCAAATGTATGTCAACTAGTAAAGAACCTAAATGTAATCAATAATTACAGACCTTACAGATCAAGGGTAGATTACCATTTTTGGTGAAAACTGTGATTTACAGTACAGTGTTTCAGTGCTAACATTATAGCTCCTGAATGGTCTACAAATTTTAACATCTCTAGCTTTCAACTGTAGTTTGAGGGTTCCTGATGATGGTAAATCCAGAAAAGGTCTTCGGATGCACACAATTTATAAAGCGTTATTTTCATATTCAGTTTAATACATTATGAGTATGTGTATTATCATACTTGTTGAATTCATCTTATCACGTCAAACTTAAAGGATACCACAGATACAGGTAATAAATCTGCTTCATGGCTTGGCTTACATTTAGAAATTAAATATGAAGGTCAATTGAGAACTAAACTTTACGACAAAAGAGATGATTTCAGCTTTCCAATGGTGAACCATTTCTATGTTGCATAAATACAGTAGCTCATTCATATGGAGTATATATACTTACAAAAAAAAAGAAGAAAGGATTCCCATTTTTATGCTCCCGCCGTTAGGCATCGCGGCATTAAGTGTTACCCTTGTCCGTCCGTACGTCCCGAAATTGGTTTCCGTTCTCTAACTTTAGTTTGCCTTAACCAAATGTTATAAAACTTATACACAATGCTTATTACCACAAAACACAGATCAAGTTCGAAATTGGGTGGCGTCACCTTTACTGTTCATGAGTTATTCCCCCTTTATAAATGGAAAATGGCTAAATCTGTCGTTTCTGTTCTCTAACTTTAGTCTGCCTCAACCAAATGTTCTGAAACTTATACACAATGCTTATAATCACAAAAACGGTCTTAATAACGTGAATCCTGCATCTGTATGTGGAAGTTGACTCATGCATATTTACAAGCGGGGGCATCTATGGCCCATAGACACATTTTCAATTTATTATTTGCTAGTATATCTCCAGTCGATGCGATATCCCAGAACTTGCGTTTCCAATTATGATAGTGGGTTGCTTATTTACAAGTAAGCTATTGAAACAAAGGTTCCTTTTTGTAAAGTTGAAGTCATCCTTTCGAAAGTTTTGCGTGTCATTTGGTTGACCATCATGAAATCAGTGTCAGAGATGACTACAATTTCATCTTTTTTTCCCCAATTATGACATTATTGAATGCGACTTAATTATTACCGAATTCTTTTATATGCCATTAGCAACTTGACAGGTGCATATAGTGGAGCAGAATCTGACTACCCTTCAACACCTGAGATCACCCCAAGGTTTTGTAGGTTCGTGTTGTTCAGTTTTTGGAAAATGACGCTGTCAAAGCGTCAATTTTACTATACCATTGACCAGATGTTATTTTATCGCTTCCAAGCCGCCTTCCGAACCCGGTTCCGTATTTTACATACCTATGTACTGTACAGAATTTCATTCTTAACCTGTCTATATGTTTATTGTTATTAAATGGTATTTTGAGCTATCCCTTAAGTATATTTTTCATATTTATATGAGCTTTTGCTTTTATGTGCATATCTTTACAATCCGTAAAAAAATCAGAATATAAATAGATCCGTTTTGTTATGGTTTTGGACTTTTTACATACCAATGATAACAAATCGCTATCGCTAGACAAAATAGTTCTTGAAAGTATGTCAACCTTTCTTGTCAGCTAGACTTTAAAGTCATTCAAAAAATAATAATCAGAATCATCTTGAAATCATACGAAAGATAATGGTCTTTATCAAGATTTAAGAAGTTTTAAAGAATCGAAAATTAGTGATACGGTTATATCCACGAGGTGCGTATGTATTTTGTTTACAAAGTTACTGCTGCAGACATAATATAGGTTTAATATCGAAGGGGCAGGTTCAATTAAAGAACAAAATTGCGATATTTGCATAGGTTTTTCTGTCAAAGGACTATTTCTTTGTGGATTTTTCACTTTAAAAAGAATTAAAAGATGCAGAAACTTTATAAAAGAAGTAGGCAGTGCTCAATAAATCATACCAAAAGTATTTAAGGAAAGTTTTTTCTCTGACAACGTGGTCTCGTCCATTTTTGAATCATCTACGATAAATTCATTACTTTTTCGAGTTAACAATTAAACCTGTATTGTTTTGAGAAAAGCATTCCCGTTGTCCAGGTGTTCATTACAAGCCCGTATTTTACGATTAATTTTACTTGCATCGCTATTTTCAAAAATCGGATACGAAAATTTC